CCCATTTTGACTTTGGGACTTCCAGCCTGTACTCAGCACAGATGTTTCTGTACACTATGACAGCCACTTGGTTATGGCGTTCTATGTATGCCCTGCCTGCTAGCATCTTGCACCTCGCTGTTATGTGCTGGATTGTCTCAGGGGCATCTTTGCACAGCCTGCACATGGAGTCCTGCCTGGTATGGTAGGCCCCGGCCTCTATTGATCTTGTACTTGAGGCCTGTTCTTGTGCTGCCAGGATTTGTGCCTCTGTGTTGTCTTTCAGTCCAGCTTTGTCCAGCCACTGGTAGGATTTTTCAATATCAGCCACTTCTTCTATTTGACGGTGGTACATACCGTGCAGAGGTTTGTCCTTCCATGAGGGTTCCTGCTCTTCCTTCCCTTGTTCCTCTGGTTTCTGCTGCCTGAGGTATTCACTAAGCACATCATCACTCGGGGCCATCTTCCTGATCCTCGGCCTCCTTCCTTCTGCTTAGTGTACAGTCTCAGGATCCTGGGCTTGAGGTGAAACCCGCCGTGCATTGTGAGAAACTTCCTTGTCTTGATGTCAGTGGCCTCTATCTCCTCCTTTGGCCAGCTTATTATGCCAGTGGGGTACCTGATGACCAGCAGGGCGTAGGTGTTAATCGCCCGGACTTTGTTCTTTCCATTCAGCTGACTTCTCAGGACTTACTTTCCTCTCTGCAGGTACTTGGTGGTTGCTGCTTTCCTTGCAGCCTCTTCCTGGTTCCCATTTGCCTGTGGGATCCCAAGGTACTTGTAGCTGTCCTCAACATCTGCTATGTTGCCTTTCTGGTAGTACAATCCCCTCAGTTCTGACCACCTTCCCTCTCCTTGTTACTATTCGATCACACTTATCCAGTCCGAATGACATTCCGATGTCCTGGCTGTAGATCCTAGTGGTGTGGATCAGTGAGTTGATGTCTCCTTCACTCCTGGCATACAGCTTGATGTCATCCATGTAGAAAAGGTGGCTGATGGTTGCTCCATTCCATAGTCGATATCCGCTCTTGCTGATGATCTGGCTGAGGGGGTTCAGCCCTATGCAGAACAGCAGTATATAGTACTTTATTCGTATTCTTTATTTTGCTAATGCACGTTCCTTTTTCTTGTTTGCTTATTTTTTTCTTTTCTTGTTCTCTCAGCCTTATCCTGTTTACTTTATTGTTGCCTTAAGTAAAAGCATTGTAATCCACATTGAGAGCCACTATACCAGAGTCAAACTCCTCATGTGTTCAACAAACCTGGACAATAAATCAGATTCTGATTCCAATTAGCTCTCTGCAATAAGCTAATATTGCCCTAGTGGATTTATTTAGCTCCAACACCTACACAGGGTATCTTTAATAAAATGTTGATTAATTTACTGTAGATCAGCCAATGATTTCAACTGCAGCAATAAACTTCCACTTGACAAACTATTAATAAAATGTAGGTAAGAAACATTTCATCTGAATTTTTACCGTGGGTTATTGCCACTGTCCATGTGCATGCTTGTTTATATACACTTTTGAAAACAAGCATCCATTTGGCAGAAGTCATGCATGGGCTACATTTGTCTCTCTCCTCCACCGACACACACAGTCTGTGACAAATTGTTGCAAAGTGTACCATTGTACTGGCGTCATTATGTCAAATTTGTTTGGCTGATTAGCCAGTCTGCTAATTGCATGGTTTCTTCTGTTTATACACACCTGTGATGGCACAGTGACGTACACAGCAGGTTCATCAACTTTGAAAGTCGGATGTAAAAAAAAAAAGGAATGCTCTTTGCAGCAATTAGAGAAGTAACATAGACTATTTAGTAGCTCTAGTACCTGGAATACTTCCTTAGAATTCATTAGACCTACCATCTAATGACGTAACGCAATGTTTATCGCGGTGCTTTGTGGGTAAAAGGTGGGACAGCATAATGTGCGCTATCGCTACAAGCAGTAACAAGTAGTGTTAACGGTCATTTGCATGGAAAATTTTTTGTCAAAAATATATTTAAATGGCCTGTGACACCGTTTGGGACAAAGTGGTTTAGAAAATGGATGGATGGATATCAAGCACACGACAAATGCCAGTGTGGCGTTTCTTCAAGTTGCTGGTCTCCATTATGCAAATTATTAAATTCAATTCAATTTTATTTAATATACACGTTTGTATCACAACAAAGGTCGTCTCAGGACACTTTAAAAAGTAAGGTCTAGACCTTATTAATATTATTATAATAGAAGAAAAACCCAGCAAATCCCCCTTGAGCAAGCACTTGGCGACAGCAGGGAGGGAAAAACTCCCTTGTTTCACAAACTTGGTTGAAGGTTATGGCTTTGGTATGGGTAAGTCTCCAGGAAATGAATGCAAAAGTCAATGTAAAGTTCCTGTGAGGAATGGAAATGTGTGTGAATCATTTTCACCCTTGCAATTTCTGTGAGAAAAAAAAAAAAAAAAAAAAA